ATTATCTTTTCAAGTGAGACACATGACCTTGCCAAACTACTGCAGAACTTATTATTTTTCTTTCCTTTCTCCCTCTGCTTCTCATTGTGTGTGGTCTGGCACAGTCATGAGCAACACATTCCACACTTAACAGCTCTTTCACTGGGAAGATGTGGACTGTGGAGGATGAACCACTTAGATAAAAGCTTTAACAGTCATGCATTATAGGTGTGGGGTTGAACGTGCTTTCCCCCTAACTCCCATGTACTGAATGACCTACTAGTTTACTGGATTCAGCAAACAGAGGGGCCAGTAAAATCATCTGACACTCTTGAATGTTCGCCTACCCTAAACTAGATAGGTATATTCCATACATAGGGGCGGTTTATAAATATAGACTATGTACTGTTTTGTTAAAGTTTTCAAAAGGTTGATATTATATTGTGATAATATACTGAGAAGGATTTTTGAAGTATGATTTTATGTAAATAGGTTACATGTCATGTACTGTATATGTTAAAACAGCATAAATGTCTTTATATAAACTGCTATCAGTAGGCATAGTAATTCCAGGGTAATTAACTCTATTAGTCCCTTACAAACATTTTACATTTGGGAAAATGAGAACATAGTCTATGACAAACATGATTTTGCTCATTAGTGTTGCATAATTTAGCAATACAATAAGCAAGGTAAAACAAAGAGTAATAGCCTAAATGGCCTACATAGGCATATTGTAGCTCAGAATTAAAATGTCGTTCAATCTCATAGATTTGAAATATTAGCATTTTTGTAAGTGATACAGTGTACTCCATGAGCAATTTGACAGTAACACAAATCTTCCTGCTTTGATTCTGCCCTCAACATTTGTCAGTAGAATCTTAGAAAAAGTGTAGCGTAATCCTACAAAAGGGTAGTGTGATGTGTCATGTGTTATTCCTTACAGTACTGTCCAACAAATTATTGAGAAAATAATTTGAGATAGTAAAGTTAAGGAATAACACATGACACATCACATAAGGGTTGATCTAAAAGTAATCCAAATCCAAGCTGGCGCACAAAGTCAACATGCATTTCTATTTTGCTAAATGGTTACTTAGACACTGTGTTGTACATAAATAGAAATAGAAGAGTAAACATCTAGCACTGGATGAAACTGAAATTAAGAGAAGAGAAAGATTTCATCATGACAAGTATACCTATTTTTAGAAGCAAAGAATGCTTATGGTTATGGTATCACAACCCTGCAGCCACAGCCACTACCTGCTTTGACCTCCTCCTGAATAATGTTGGTACGGTGAATACTGTCAGTTGAGTTTATTAGTCCTTTTAACAGAAAAAAAAGAAATCTACCCTAGTGATTTTATTAGATATACTTAGATGCATCATTTCCATTGGCAAGCTCCAGCAACAAGAACAATATTGCACAGAAGAGTGTCATTTCATATAATATACTACAAGCAATCCTCGAAAGATTGCGCTGCTGTAAAACGCAGTGAGATGTTCTTGCATTATCATATAATTACATCTTCTTGTGTCTGCCTGAGATAGCTTTACAGTTCAAAATGTGAATTCTCTCTGCCTTAAGATAGAAAATGGCTTCTCACTTCAGAAAAAGGACCGAGCCACTCACTTACAGATGACTGTGTTAAGCATTTACTGAAAATGGCAGTTAGGCCAGTGGTTTAAGAACGAGTAGCAGTGAGCTCTCATACAAACAACACTTCAGATCTCATTGCATGATGTTTTAGGAGTGTAGGAGTATCGGCAATATGCAATGTGCACGTCGAACATATCAAACAGCTGTAGAAGAAAAATGGGCCAGGGAATAAAGTGAAAAAGAATGTTGATTGAATGGCTCTCAAGACAAGTGATTGACAGCAACTAGATGAGAACTGATAAAATTCTTACAGCAGCCTGTAAAAGAGACCTGTATTAAACAGCTGTAAAATGGGCCAAGGTGGACAGTGCCAGCCACAGATATAGAAAGACTTCTTCAGAAATAGATAGAGAGTCTCATGTGAACTTGTGCAGGCGAAAAAGGACCCAGTAAGAGAGTAATGGTAGATACTTAGACCGTGTGCTACATTAGTTCCAACAGCTAAGTTAAGACCAAATTATTACAATGAACCTAGCCCATGCACAGACGTTCAGTACAATAAGAGTAGTCTCATTCTCAGAGCGGTGCTTATGTAACGTGGCAGCCAGAGCCAGACATACAGTTGAATGCAAAAGTTTGAATGTGATATAAATATTTTCAGCGAACTTTTTTACACCCACCCTCTGCCTTTGTAACTTCATAACCTCTTTGCAGAACCTCTGAATGGCTTTTGTGTCCTCTCATTTGCAGTATTTGCTGCTCTATTCTTCCTGACATATCATTTATAACTGAAATGTTTGGCGAGAGAGTCAAGTCGAGATTTTGATTTTTTTTTTTTTTTTTTTTTGTCTTTTTAAAAGTTTTTTGTGTAAATGTTGCCTTGTGGTTTGAACTATTTTCTAGTTTCAGCCTCCACCAACATTTACTTTTTGCTACCTCCGGTTGACTTAGGCAGACCAAAAATATTACTGGCAAGCTTCAAACACATACTGTTCATTCTGTTTTGGCTATAGTTTTGGGGAGTTTTTTTTTTTTTTCAGTCTAGTCCTTATCTAGTGAAGTCTATTTGCAGATCACCATTTAATGTTTTGAGTCTGTCAAGGACAGAGCTTAGAGAACCTGCAAGACTTCAATGGGACACCAGACTACATATGGTATACACAGAGAAATAAGACATACACAAATGCAAACTATGTACAGGAAGTGTGGTCATGGTAGAGCCAAAGCAGAAGTGAGTCAAAACAGGAGACAAATAAGAAGGTTTTCGTGTCAGTTTGTCTTTAGAAAACGGCCAAAATTAATTCAAGACAGCAGTAAAAAATATCCTGGAGGTTAGGTTTGGTGTTCATTAAAACTCTTCTTAACGGACTTTGGTTCTAACTGGGTGGGGAGGATAGTAACCAGCGTCTTGTCACTCGAGGGAGTGCCGATGAGTCGAAGGGATGATCGCATGTGACTTCAAGTAGTGCTTGCTGAAGTTTGTGTTTCCTCAGGCGAATCTGCAAAAAGGCAAAAAGACACATATGTTGGAGTGTTGTTCCTCTACGGAAAGTGCCATTTTTATCCTCCTCATCATGAGACACCCACTGGGAGTGATTGGGAAGCTGAGCAGCCTCCAGCCGCGTCTGTGCATTTTCAGCTCCGCCTCACACAAGATCATGTTTTTGCTGAGGTTGCTGTTGGTCCTGCGATGGCAATTAATGATATCAGATATCATTAACGATACCACTTTTAGCACTGCTAGTAGCAGTGAAGAAAGTTAGCTCTGAACTTTCTGAAACATCGCGTAATGAATGTAATCCTTATCACTGTTCTGTCCTTACACATTGCCTTGCATAAGCTTAAATTACCCCGAAATTATGCAGGGTGAATTCTCCTGCCTTGCACCCAGCGTTATCGAGGTAGGCTCTGGATTCACCATGACCCGGAACCACATAAAATGGCTATTTTAATACAATGAACACTTTTTACAATTTTTATATTTTTTATTTGTAAATAATGTTGACGTTTCCCTTCATTTCAATATTGTGGGTTATTTCCTGTAGATTCATGACATATAATCCCAAATACATCCCTGTTTCAGTTGTTTTAGTTCCAGGTTGTAACAATACAAAATTTTGAAATGTTTAAGGGGGGCGAATACTTATGTAAGGCACTGTATGTCTGAAACACAGCGAATATTATGGAACTAGTGTGTAACTCAAAATCCCAAATTTGAAGGTACACCAAATAAGTAGTGAACTGAAGGTGGCTGAACTAAATACAAATGTTAAATAATATTTCAAAAACAGTGTAAATGAATTTCTCATCCCATTGCTTATAGATCATTCATTATATGCATTATTTTGTAGGTGTTACGTTTGACATCTTTCCCCAAAGTGAATGAAAACTGTGTTCTATTTGTTGTGATTTCTGTATTGATCGTCATTAATGTGTAATTAGAAATGAGCTCTGGGAATTTAAAGAAGTTGCTCGGTTTCAAAGCTGCACTTTCTGAATCCTTCTACTGAGGATGGAGAATTTAATACTTTAAAGATCAAGCAACAGCTTTACAGCAGGAGCAGGATAGTGACCTTTAAAGAAATATGCTTTTGGTATAATATAATAGAACAAAATCTGACTCATCTATGTTGTTCAGGAGGTCAGTGCCAGCCTGGCAGCCACTTAGTTTGTGCCACCATGCATCGAGCTGATGAACGTGGCAATATGCAGGACAAAAAAGTGATTACAGTAAAGGATGATCAAGGTGTACGGGATACAAATTCCATGCTGCATTATTTCACTTGCCAAAAAATATTTAGTGACCTTGCTGGACATTCTTTCATATACTCAAGAGTGAGGCTATACTAGAGAGAGAGTATACAATCACTGAAACAAAAGAATAGCCCCTTCAAAGCCTTCCTCTATTGCCTTGTGCCATTAAAATTCCTCTCATCAATCATGGAAATTCAAATGATGTGAAAGCCTCTCAGCGCCGTCCTCTGCCTGCTCCGGCATAAAATCAATCAGACAGCCCAAGTGCATGCTAATGAGCGGCCTTGAGCTTGAGAGAACTGATGCAGGCTGTCATGGTATCCAGTCACACAGGCCGGATATGCCCAGAGCATATGATGTAGCTTATTCAAGTCTGATGGTAGTTGTGGTCTCTCTTCTTTAATAGCATTTTTTTTTAAAATGGCTTGCATCATTGGAATTCAATGTATTTTCCATCAAGAGAAAATAAAGGAGTCTGATATAAATCTCATAATGAGCAATGAGATCAGGCAAGAGATAACGGTAGGTGGCATTACACTGACAGGATACTAGGTTTTATTTAACAGAATGAACACAAACCTAAAACATGTCTATTTGGCTTGTTTGAGTTCATTCAGCTGATGCAGGATACAACTGAGCTGAAAGGTTTTGCCCAAACATGCTAGCTTGGTGGTACTGGGATTTGAACACAAAACCTTCTGATTTGTGATTGAAGCCTTAACCACTCAGCCATCATACCTACACCACAACAACGCTGCAGCTAGCGTGCCCTGATTCGACTACTTCTACCAATGAATTAACGCCAATAAATATTGTATTGAAGCCACGCAAGCATGGGAAAAATAAGATGAATGACTTCTTGAGTCTAGAACTAAAGATGTGTGTTATGTCTCATTTCTCTAAGACAGTGTGTGTAGGACTTGTGAGAGTTTATGAATTGAAATTCTGGTCTGACAATACACCCAAATGGATTAGGATGCACTTTTGCGTTTATTGCATATTGATAAGCTGCCTTGCTCGCCACCACATTTTAAGCAATAATGGTTTTCTAATACATGCTGCTGAGACACACTCACCAACCACATCACTAGGAACACCTGTACACCTGCTTATTCATGCAATTATCCAGTCAGCGATGTGGCAGCCGCGGAATGCAAAAACAAGTCAAGAGCTTCAGATAATGTTCACATTAAGCATTAGAATGGAGAAAAATGTGATCTCAGTGACTTTGACTGTGGCATAATTGTGGGCGTCAGACAGGCTGGTTTGAGTATCTCGGATATTGCTGATCTCCTGGGATTTTCATGCACAATAGTCTCGACAGAGTTTCATGCATCCAATGGGCAGCAGTCTTTTTCCAATCTTTGGCTGTCCAATTTCAGTGAGCCTGTGCTCACTGTGGATTATTTTTCTTGGCTGACAGGACTGGAACCCAGTGTGGTCTTCTGCTGTTGAAGTCCAGCCTCCTCAAGGTTCAGCATGTTGTGCATCCTGAGATGCTTTTCTGCTCACCACAGTTGTAAAGAGTTGACTTACTGTCAGCTCGAACCAGGCTGGCCATTCTCCTTTGACCTCTCTCATCAACAAGGTGTTTCAACTCAGCAGAACAGCTGCTCACTGGTTGTTTTTTGTTTTTCACACCATTCTAGAAACTGGCGTGCATGTAAATCCCAGATGATCGGTAGTTTCTGAAATATTCAAACCAGCCCTTCTGGCACCAACAACCAAGCCACAGTCATGAGTAAGTTCATGAGTGCAAGTGAAAGAAATAAGGTTCCTCCACAGGGTTGCTGGTCTAAGTGTCTGTCTCAGTCTGTCTGGGCTGACCTTCTCAGGCTGTTGCCATCGCAACCTCCACCATGAAAAACAGAAGGAAAATAAATAAATGAACAAAATGTTGGTGGTAGAGAGTGCTATCTAAACGGTGGTCTGAAATCTCTCAGAGGTGTTTAGCTGGGTTCAGATCTGGTAAGTGCAAAGCCAAAATCATAGCTATAATTTACAGAAGTTTCATACTCATTAAACCATTCAGTGAGCCCTTGTGCCCTGTGGATGGGGGAGGGGTCATCCTGGATCCTGACTTTCCCCTAAATAGACAAGTGGACTCAAACCATGCCAGCATAACCGGGCCACTGTTTTTTCCTTTGTCGCCTTTCTATATATGCAGACAAAGAAAGATGAGTGGAACTGCATGTTTTTCTTTTCACTCTAATTATCAAAATGCAGGCACTGAAAAAATGTTACTGTGAATTTTACAGTAATTTACTGCCAACAAGGTAACTGGCAGCTGGCAAGCTCAACTGGCTTGCATTGATTTAACCACTTCTACCACTGAATTAGCTCGTACTAAAAGATTTCACTGAATTGATTCAAGGCAGTTGTGCTAGCTGTGGTGGCTGAGTGGTTAAGGGTTTGAGTTACAGCTCAGAAAATTGTAGGTTTAACTCCCAGCACCGCCAAACTGCCATGATTGGGTCCTTGAGAAAGACCATTAACCTTCAGCTCAGTTGTATCCTGCATCAATTTTAAGTCTCTGTTTTTTTTTTTTTTAAAGCATCAGCCAAATGAGCAAATGTACTGGATTATGTGCTATTTTATACTGTTTAAGATGTTACAGTTGCAGAACTTACTGTAAAATTTTCAGTAAATATTTACAGTGTGAATTTCATTTTAGTTTAATTTTTCATTTTATTTTAATGCAGAATCAGTTCAATGCTGAAATTGCAAGTAAATTAAGTGACAACAAAGCAAAAATTCTTTCATGTGTTTCCATGTGTTTTCAGGTAGTGTTTAAATGAATTATTGACATGTCAATGTCATGATATTTTTATGAATTATCACAATTTATACCTGCCGGTTAGGTCATTAGTAAATGATTATTACATTTAAGTATGTGTTAGGAAATAAATTAAGTGTCACTACATTTACATTTACATTTACAGCATTTGTCAGATGACCAATTTACAGAAGTGCTTTGTAGTCTCCATTAGAAACTACAGTACATCCTCATGCTAGTACAAATAGGCCCCCATAACCCTGGGTAAGAAAGGAGATAACTGAACTGGGGAAGATAAGTGATAATTGAAGTGATACTGGTTGGCAGTTGTCCAAGCTGTCTGGGTGGGTTCAATCCTTGCTGTCTTAAAGGCAGTTAGCTAGCCACCATAACTGGGTATAGATATCCTTTAAGAACAGCTATGCTTTTTTCATCAGTTTAAGTCTAATAGCATAGGTTCTTTGAGGGCTTGCTGAAGGTGCAATATGAGCATTACAAATTAAATTCACTTGACATGATGTTGAAATTCTTTTATATCACAGCCTGTAATTAAGACCACAGATTTGAAAGAAACTACTTTGACTGGGGAAAAGTTCAGAAGAAACTGGCACCACTTGACTGTCTGCCTAATTAATTCAAGTTCAATTAAAATGTAGCCTAGAGTTTTAAAACTGTTTTAACATGTCTACTTCCACTTACAGACACTTTCAAGATGTAAAGGAAAGTCAACAAGGGTGGGAAATATTCATTAAATGAACAGTATATCGCCGAAATTGTTAACAATTCTGAAGGTAAGGCTGGTTTAAAAAAATGACAGTCTGAGAACTTTGATGAAATAATGAAATATAATGTTATTTTTATTGTATAACTTCCTACTGAGCTTGTTTCGCTGGCTTTGAGAACCTGTGATGCTGAGTTAGGCTCAAATGTGGTTTCATGGCCCTGCCAGGTCTGGTACCTCACATTACACACTGATGTTGTTAAATATTGCCTAAATATGTGTATTTGTTCTAATCCCTGGTATTGTGATATTGAGCTCCACAACTTTGTGCTTAGATATTGATAGCATTTATTTTTTCTGTAAAATGTTAAACTTTGTGATGCATTTCAAAGAACAGTAAATCAACTAAAGTTATTATGAGTATTATTTTAAGTATTATTATTATTATTCAAAGAATTTTTCAATTGTATTTCCTCTAATATGTAAGGCTGAAATACTATATGTTGGTTTTGGTAAATTTTTCATTATTATGTAATTACACAGAAATAATATGTAATACTGTAATACCATAATCAAAATATACATCTCTGTAGTTTTTCATTCATTTATCTTTAGTAACTGCTTCAGCCCAGTCAGGGTCATGATCTGGAGTCTACCCCGGGAACACTGCATGCGAGGACAGAATACACTCTGGATGGGACGCCAATCCATCCCAGGGCACCATGCACACACAGACCTGAGCTCAGGATCAAACCAGAGACCCTGGAGGACACCAACAGAAGAACATCAGAGAATAAATCAGAAAAAAAAAATCATAAAGATCTTTTAGATCTTTTACATTTTTGGAATTGTTTAGGTTCATAAGAGGACTGCAGGCGATTATCAGTGTGTTACTACATCATGATAATCATCTGCCATCCTCAGGGCTTCAGTAAATCAGTATGATGGACCCTGGGGCATCTTTTAATATCTGCTGCTGAGACATATCTCTGCGTGGTGCACTCTCTGCTGTGAAGGAAAATATTTAAAGTACTTATCAGCGTGAACAGAACATCTGAGGCCTGAGCATGTCGTCTGTTGTTTCAGTGGCAGTTAACACTCTGGTCGTTTGGAATGATGGTGCCTTGGAATGATTACTTGGGTTTATGCTGTTTGAAGCATTCACTGTCCTTCTGAGCATGTAGTTGTTCTAATCTTCTTTGGGGTTACTGCTCAGAAAAACTGAAGTATGATTGCAACAGTGATTTTGGGAATGAAACTGAGACTGATTTGAAGGCCATATGATAAAACATGCAAAGCAGACACCCAGTGATATGTAAGTAATACACTATCAAAAATTGTGTGAGAACAGATTACCCACCTCACTGGCATTAGAAACAGCTAGAAATCTAAAGTTTCACAGTGGAAACCTTAAGTCTATCATTTATATAGCATATTTATATAGCTTTTATCAAATACTATATAAATATAATTGCAGTCAATATTACATTGGAATCTCTTGGGTAACAAAAACATAGGAAAATAATAAACTATTACAAATTATATTAGAAATTAATTCAATTACTTCAAGCCACTCAACTAAT